TTAGAGAAAGGGTTTCATTAAGGGTCACTCCAGCATATGGATTCCATTTCACAGAAAATATCTGCCAAAGCCACGCAGAAGCCACAGGGGTTATTCTGTTACCACGGAATGCGAGTGCATCTGATCTTACAATGCTACAGGAGAAAGAGAGCGTGTAAATACTTGCTCTCTGATGTCAATGGAAAGCTGTCCACTGAAGCCACTGCTGATCAGAGTAAGAAAAGGAGTCGCTTCAAGATGCAAAATTATTTCAGAAGCAGCAATGGATTCCTCCCAGTTACTGAAAGTCACAGAGCATCTATTGCTGGGCTGTTCACCGCAATGTGGCTCAGTGCCACTCTTAGCTTACCAGGTAAAATACTCTTCTCCTTCAACTACAGCACTGAGGAAGCACACGTGCTGCTCTCAAGGCACGCATTTTGCACAGCCACCAAGGCGTTGATTCCTCTGTCCAGCGTTAGACTGGACTTCGTGACAGCATCCTTCTGTAACTTCATCAGATTCCTTTCAACGACAAGTTTTAGATTCCTCCTTATTTATTTAAAACAAAAACTGAAATAGAAAACATTGCAACATGCGACTTCTTTGCAAAGCAACCGACAGCTCTGTCAGAGAAAACTTAGACCTCAAATCAACTTTTCAACAACCTCTTCCATACCGCGCTTCAGATTTTGCCCTGTGCTAAATTACAGACACCTTCTCTTCCTTAACACACGACAATCCGTTAAAAAGAGAAGCCAAAAATCCCGCAGAGCCGCAGGCGCCCGGCGCTGCTCCATCGCCCCATAGCCGCGCTGCGCAGCGCTGCTCTCGGGCGCCCCCTGATGGGCACAGCGCACGGCGAGCCCCCGCCCCGCTCGCGCCCCTCCGCTCAGGAGCGGGAGGGCTGCGAGGAGCTCCCGGGCTGAGCCGGCCCTGCGGGGCCGTAATGAATGGAGGAGGTTCAGGTGCACCGTGCAAAACCTGATTTGACATCTGAAATGGAGTTAGGGTTTGGCCGGTGCTGTGATGCTAACGGCTCCTTCTCTTCCAGAAAGGACCCTTTTCTCTAGATTGCTAGACCGAAGCGTAGCCTTTCGTTAGGAAAAGACCGCTTCACGCCAGGGAACGGCATTAATTCCGTATTCGGCCCGCTCCCCGCAGGCACAGAGCTGTACCCGTCTCCTGTAGTCGCCGTGCAGCTCCGTGCTCGGGTCCTCTTGGGTCCGGAACCCCTCCTTTCCCACACACGAGGAGCCTGACGGCCGAATTCCCTCTAAGTAGTTCTAATATTGGTTTGGAACAGCACTTAAAATGCGATGATACTAGCTCATTAGAGTTTGTGTTTCCAGGATGTTTTGGGATTAGTGGTTAAAAAAAAGCAGTCCCAGAAACAAGCTAGAGCAACTGCTGTGTATTAAAACAGGATGGAAAAAGTTATTCTATTGATGCCAGCTATGTTAGTCCACTGGCTAAATGATTAATGTTGATAATTCCCCTCCAGCAGACTCATTAAACCTGGACTTATTTTTCTTACAGACCTTTGACATTTCCTACTTTCTTAATATCAGAGGTAATGACAGTGGCGTGATTATATACTTATTCCTTTCCACCTTCAAGCAGTTTTCTTTGGCAGGAGTTACTTTTTAAGCAGAAAACCTGCACACGAGTATTCATTCTTTCCCAAAAACTGTTACAGCTCCATTAGCAATACTAAATGGCAGCGCCCGAGAGGAATGCACAACAACTCCTCTAAAAACCCAATAGTCGAGGTATTCAGAGCAATACCTTGAGAACGATGTTTTCAACAAAACTGCAGTTTATAATGGTTAGGGGGTTACTGCCCCATTCCCCCACGTTTCTTTTAGATCCTGTTGTCAGAAAATGTCCAAGTTAAACAAAGAAGAAATTACAGAATGAATCTGGAGCTTAGCCTTGAAGAATTAGGTTTCACTCTAATTGAGATCATACGCTGCATGTGCAGTTTTGGCACATAAGCCATATTAATCAGAAACTCTTTAATCGTGGATAATTTCTCCTGTGTGTGCCAGATCGGGCATTCTGCTGCTGGCCCAGCTTCTAAGTCTGTTTAAGAGTCCACCTTTGACTTCATAAACACCCGCTTACAAAATTGGGGTCAACTTCCTCCTATAAAGGTATGCTGCGCTGGCGCTAAAAAAAATTCCCTTAATGATTAAATTGCATCTCGCATGGAAATAAAAATGTGCAGATTCCAAAGGAATGACTATTTCTAGTGATTACAATTTGCGTTGGAAGTAGCCCTCACTCAAGCCTGTCTATGAAGTACACAGCAGATGAAAACCAGGGAAGATGATCCAACAGCCACAGTTTGAAATTTGATGACTGCACTGAGCATCATTTAATCTACTGTTATTATACTACTGCAAGTCCAGAAAGAGTAAACAGGGCACAAAATAGTTTTGTGCATTCCATTTTAGATGCAGTAGGCAGTGTGAGTAATAACACCTACTGGATTTTCTTACCTTTATTACAGGAATGAAGACGGAACTTGCAAAGCAGACAGCGAGGTGCCCCATATGCATGGATGAAACCCTCTTCCCACCAAACTAAAGTAAATTATGAAATTTTATTCGCTACAACCTCGATGGAATCCACAAACTCATTCCGAAAGTTCGGCTGTTTTGCAAGAGGTGAAATTAACTGCATTCCTCCTACTGAAAAATGCTGTTCCTTGCATCACTTATGTCTTTCACTGGATTGTCAGAATACTTAAACTTTAATATTCACAATGAATACGTAGAAGCATAAAACCTAGCTGAGATTTGTCATAAGGCACAAGCAACCTTGTACAATAAATGGATCTTTCCATACATTTCTACACCTGTAGGTTCAAAATGAGCTTTTGTCTCCAGAGCTACATTTCACATTTAAGTTACTCAACAGCATGACTCCCATGATAAAGATAAAATTACTACTCCAGAGTTACCCTGATAGGAATTTTAAAGTAGTAAAGCAAAACAAATTGCAGCACAATGCATAAACAGAAAAAGAAAAAATTAAGGGAATCCTCTCTACCCAATCATACCACTTCCATAAACATCAGACACTCTGCACTAATGTCCATAACTTGTTTTAGTGGTGACTGCTAGACTTTCATAATCTATATCATAAAATTCCCAGCTTCCGACGCCCCTCCTTCTTCCTACAGCTCTATTAACCACCTGCAGCCTGCCTTATGCATCGCATCCCTCTTCTCTCACACTTCTCTACATTAAAATATTGTGTCCTCTATCTCTCTTCAAACATTATGATCCACCTTCCTCTCTGCATTTCATGGAAGTACGCTGTTCCAAATGTTAGTCTGTTCTTATTTCAACCTTTTAGCTCTACAACACTTTCAGCAAGAAGGAAGAGCCAATTGTAAGATTATGCTAGAAACCCAGAAGTTACCATTGGACACAGAAGCTGCCAAGAAGCCTGTATGGCAAGCACAGGCAAAGCGGGAATGAGAGAAAAATAAGGAATTGCTGTAGCACTACCCACTTACTTTGCTAGCTCCTTTCCTTATATACCTGTAACTTGCAGGTGATTTCTGCAAGCAATCAGTACTCTTAATACACACGTAACTCTGCTCCTCATCAGTTTTACCACACATTTTAATGAGAGAAATTGACCAATGGTATGTATTTATAACAAACAAGCAAACTTCAGGTATAATGACAGCCAACCCCTCCTGTTTCATTGCTGAGCACCATGCCATATGGCATGGGATACCCTTGTGTCCAGGTTGGGCTGGCTGTCCTGGTTCTGTCCCTCCTGCTGGCTGGCAGGGCAGCATGAGGAGCCATGAGCCCTCAACCAAGTGTAAGCACTGCTTTGCAACAACCAAAACATCAGTTTTTATCAACTTAATTCTCATCCTAAATCCAAAGAACAAGAGCACACCATGAAGGAAAATAACTTTATCCAAGCCAAAACCAGGACAATGACTTATGAAAACTCCAAATAGTACATGTTATATCTTAGAGGAATTCCCAATGATTACATCCTTCTTCCTATTTACATTGCATTGCTCTAAAAGAAATGCAGCAAAAATAAACCCTCAGAGGCACCATGAGATGCACAAAATCCACCTCGTGTATTTCAGTGGCTGCCCTACACCTTCCTCTGAAAAAGCACAATACAATTTGAACAGAGAAATGCTTCTTGTTATGAACACAATATTGTAAACTCTGCAGAAAACAAACAAACAAACACACACAGTATTACAGAAAAATGGGAATGAATGCTTCAATTTTACCAATTTACCAAGACTTCCAATTAAAACTAAGCCTCTGTCAGGCTTTTCTGGGGATCACTCTCTCAGAAAGCTGATTTTTTTCCAAAATAACAAAGACAGATCCCAATTAAAAGTGTAGAGATTGCTACCAGGGAGCTTCAGGCAGTCCCCTGTGATGAAACAGGGGCAATTCTTGCACTTCATGAACAGAGGTAAGTTCTGTTAAATCCACCTCCTTTTCTAACTGAACCGTGTTTCCATCTGAAGCAGGATTATGGCTATGTGGAGATTCAAGGAGAATTAAAAGAATTCCTGCACATTACAGAGATTACCAAAAAAACCCAACCAACACTTCTATACATCTAAAAGTTTCAATATCTTTCAGTGGAAGACAGGCTGTGAAGTAACTACCAGAGGCTTTTGTGGTCCTTGCATGGAATGTGAGAAATTCTGAGCAAAGAGTGTGAGAGTTTCATGCTCTTTTAATGCTTTTCTAATGGCAGAAGGCTCCAACCGGAAATAAGCAAGTCTGCTGTCCCAGACAGTTCAATGTTTCCACAAGGAAATAGAAAAGGAATGAGCACATTAAAAAAAAAAAAAACAAAAAACAGAAGGATGGCAGAGGACAGAGAGAGAACTGCAACAGATGCTAACAGCTAAGATCTCTCCCAGGCAACCACTTGTACAATCAACACACAGAGGTTGGGTTTAGTAAGATTATCACAGTGGAAAGATAATCAGAATAAATGGAAATGCTCACCAGCGTCATAGGCTCACAGTAAACTCCACAAGGAGCAGTCTCTAGAAAGAGACCCTTCCTCAGGGGCAGTCAGCCCTTAAATGGGATCCAGGAGAGGTGCAGCCAGCCTGCACCCCTTCCAGTACCACAGATGATTGCCTTCACCTGTGCTCCTGCAGCTGACTCATCGCTCACCTCAGGTGGTCAATCAGAGGTTCAGGCCGTGATCAACAGTTCCCATACCCCACTGAATGCTGATAGCATGGCAGATAGGTCAGAAGCAGAAAACATATTCAGTTAGTCATAAAAATAAAGCCAGATCTCAAACTCAAAACCAAATCACCTCATTTCAGAGACTGCACATCAGCAGTCATGGCGGCTGCCTGTGTGTACTCTCTTGGCTTGCAAAACAGGTAATGCCACGAGGTGAGAAATCTGAGTTAGAATGATCTAAATAGCATCATGATTTGCTGTGGGCCAGGAAAATTAAGATTGAGGGTTACCACTGATCATTTGAAGCACTGATTTCAATCACAGTAATTTTATTACAGGTTGCAGCCATGAAAACTCTGTAATTGTGTGCAGTCTGGTAAAGCTGTGCTGTTGGTTGTTGTCTTCTTGTTTAGGAGTCAGGAAAAGAGATCTTTTAGATCTTTGTCAGATGCTGAATTTGATGTTTATGTCAGACCAAGGATCAGGTAGGACTTAACCAGTGCTTTTGGAGTGATTCTTTGTTGCCCCCTGATTCAGTACAGCTCAGTGCTGTAGTGAAGTCCAGGCTTCATTAAAAAAACCTGGGAATGGGTTAGGGAGATATCAGACTAGAAATGGGTAACTTATAACTGCTCAGAGCTGCTGTACAGTACAAGCCTGTAGTCTGACTCTTGAAGCCTGTTTTGTTTGGTTACAAGCTCAGTTTCTGCATTTTTTCTTCACTTAAAAGCTTTAAACCTCCTGTATTTCAAAATGGTTTTAGAATGATGTTGGCTTTTGTTAAGCATTATACTTTTTCTAAACTTTACCAAATTTGCTGTGTAAATAACAAAATTCCATTCATAAACTGTATTATCTAGAAGAAAAAAAAAAAAAGAAAAAAAAAAAATCCTCTTGCATTGGATCAGCTAATGACAAAGAGTAAAATAAACTGCCTCCTTGGTTTTGAACTGGGAAAGTCAGAAGCAGAGAGTAGGAAACAAAGGACCACCTCACCAGATGCAACCCATGGCAAATTAGTTCTTTCCGTCTGACTTTCAAACTATCGTGGTTTTTCCTTATTAGTATACCTAATTGTACTAGGAAAAATGTGCAATATCACCAACTTATGGTGAATCTGGCACTAGTTATCTCACTATTTCTTTTAGTAACACTTAGCAAAAATGGTCGAGTAAACCTCCAAAGCATAACAGCATGCTATTAGCCAAACGTCAGAGCCATATTTCAAAGCTCATCGCTTGGAGTCAAAGAGAAACTCGTTGCAAACAGCTGTGCTCATCAGTAATTTCTTAGTATTTAATATAAGAAAAAATATAAAGACTGAAATCTTTGATGGAAATGAATGGAAGTTGTATCCGGATTTCAGCAGGGCTGAGGTATCACTGACGGAACTATGAAAGCCTTTGTCAATGGATGTAAACTAGTAAAATGTGCCCTCTGAAAGAATGTTAACTTCCAAGTCTCTTGTCAGATAATGGCACTATTCACCAGCAAGAATGACATGTTTAATCTGATGGATTGAACATCCTTTAATCCTTCCAGCTATCCATTAAACTGTTTATTCTCAGTGTAAATTGTTCCAGCCATAAATTTACACCAGCTAAAGTGCCTATCATGCTGGTTTACGCTTGGCCACGTCCACAGATTTTGTGTTATCTGACACACATCTACAGATTTTCAAAGCAAGCTTGTACTGTCTAAATTTTAAATCCTTAGGCAGGCCAAATTGAAGCTTCATTTTCCAATAGGAGTATTCCAACATTTAGGAAAAGCAATCTGTTTTTAAGGGTCATGCTTCTTATATTGCACCTCAAATGCTTGTGTCTCCAAATTGGAGGAATTTAGCCCAAAAACTCATTGAAAATGTTCGTATTTGTATTGCTCTGGGCTCAATTAGTATTCACTTAAGTTAGCACGATTCTTGACTACATTTTTTGGAGAAGATTTACAATGCAGTCTCATTAATAGTAAGTGTCCATTATACAGTGAAAACAAGGCAAACATTTCCTTAGCAGAAACTACTGAAAAGTTTTCTAGACAAGTCCAAGATGTTCTTCTTGCCTTTCTGCCCCCAACCTTCCCTGGGTAACATTTAACCTTTTTCTTTCCAGTTTATGGGATTTTTGTCTGCCCTACAGATCATTAATTCTCCCTGCTTTATTCTGCTGTTATTTTGAGTGGTAAAAATTTTATACTAAAGTTTTTCACATCTCTTAATATATTTATCAGTAATGTTGTTGTGTGTTATTGACTAGAAGTAAAACAAACTTGAGTGCTAATAGGAATCGACATTACTCTCCTTTTCTCTAACTTGTAAGCAGCAAAGGAAACAGCAATGATGAACACACCAAATTCATCTGACATTTTGAGGCCAGTCTCTGATATTTCATGTACTCTGTCACAGTTTGCTAAGGGGCGTGATATTCCTAAATGTCAGACTCAAAAGCACGGCGTGTTTGCTGATCAGTACAAACATGCAATCTACCAATTTGCACGCTATACGCTTGCATGATAACTATATCACAGACAGCATGAGCCAACTACAGTTACCAACTAGGATAGCAACTCCATCCCAGCTACAGACTGGATTTTTATGGAGCAAATCCCACATTCAGCTCCTGGGAACTGACAGTGGCAGAAGTTCTATGCAAAATCCAGGAAGCAAAAAGCCCAGGTGCCCATTGAGTTCTGCTCCTTACCTGCTCTTTTTTTTTTTTACATCTCATTCACCCAGCACCTTGTTTACCATGGTCACCAAACATCCTGTGTGATTCACAGTCTTCCAGGCAGAGGGCTACTGAGAGTAAAGGAATCATTTTTGTCTTAAAGTCAGTGATTCTTTGCTGTCATACCTGTCTGGAAGATTTCAGCAGCCTAAAGAGAAAATGTGGGTTTTTTTGTGGGTTCTTGATGATTATCACTGAAGTATTCAGAGAAGTAGTTGCAAAACGCTCGCCCGAGTGCCAGCTTTTTGTATTAAAACTTGCTTTTGCCTGTAAGTCTGTTTTGGAAGCGTGCTCACTGTTTTCATCTAATGCTACAGCAATGGAAAGTAGAGGTGTATTTTGTTAAATACAAAATCCAACTGTCATTTTGAATTATATGTGAAAACAAATCTCCATACGGAGATCTACTTCACCATTTTTTCATATAAAGCTCTGATTTTCAGTCTTTCTATTCCCAATATTGACACAAAGCGAGGATTAGAAATAAAGTTAGTGAAATAATTGTTTTGCATCACTTCAAAGCATTTCGGAGTTAGCTGCATTTCACGTTGTTTTCCCTTTTCTGAATTGGTTCATTGACTGGGGACATGTTTCTGCAGGGCATCAGGAATCACGTTCCTTATGTTTAATGTGCAGCCTAGCCATCCATTTCATCCACTTTTTTTTTTTCCCCATTTCCTACCATACTTCCATTATTTGATAGAGAAGGTTTTTTGTTTGTTTGTTTAATAAAGACTTGATTATTTGCTAGTTTTGGGATGTGCCTTTTTAAAATATACTGGCATGTTATGCAAGGCTTTGGAAAGAAAACATTACTCCAAGACACAATTTTAGCAAAGCCTGTAATTTTCTGTATCCCTTTTCCCTCAATTCTCTTTAAAATTGCAGTGAAGATGTTGACATTTAAATTCGATCTTCCTTTAGAATTTTTCCAGCTCCACCTTTATTAACCCCTTCCCAAAATTAGCACACTTATGTCTGTGAGATATCAAACAGGCCATTTTGCAAGAGAACTGCAGTTAGGAAAGTTCAGTTTGACTTTCGAACATTTCCAGTTTCTTTCAAACACACCCCAGGAGGAATAAAACATGAAGTGGCACCTAAAAGTTGAAGCTAACATAAAACATCATCAGTGGTTTAAAATTCTGATCCTGGAAATGGATGCTTATATGCTTCACCACAGAACCATCACTGTTTAAGAGAGAACCAAAACTCTCAAACTCCAACTGACTTAAAGAAGAAAAAATCCTATTCTGAATTATCTTAGTGGTTGAAGCTGATGACAAGAATTGCACATCAGGACTGCCTTATTTCAATTTGAAACAGATGAAGACCTTACTCCCTACACATCAAAGTTCAGTACATGCCAGAGCATTTGATATAATTTGCAGCCAGCTACGAACACTTGTGTAGAATGAGAGCTCATTTTAAAAGACAATCTCCTTCTAGGCTCACTTCCCACTCTATTAAATAACTTCAGCTGCACACTATCTAAGCATTTAGAAGAAAAATCTTAATTGTTATTTTTTAAGTTATCTCATCGGTGGCTCTCTGGCACATCATCAAGCAACGGAGATATCCTGACCAATGCAATGTGTTTGCTTCTAACCACCTGTAGCTTTCATGTCAAAAAAGAAAAAGCTTCCAAAAAATCCAACCCAGTTAATTTAAATGAACTTGCAAAACTGACAGAAGTTATACTTTTCTGTAACATCTCTTTTAAGGAGTAAATGCAGTTCAGATTAGTGTGGGAATGAACATAAGCTCAACATGGCAGTCTTCCATGTTTGCATTTGATCACCATCTACACAAGAATGCGTGAGGAATACACGCAGCCCATTTGACAAACACCACTACTCTTGTAGTGCCAGGCATGAGGATGAGCATTGCACAGCCAGCAATAAAAAGGGCAACAGCTGCTAAAATCCCCAGCAACTATTTGTCCCAACAAATTGGGATGCTGGAAGAGAAGCGTATTACTCAATCCATTCATTTTAAATCATTCTTGTTTGTTTGTTGTTTTTGTTTTACTTACTTTACTTGTATAACTGTATATTTACTCTTTGCTTCTGATCCCAGATTCTGTTATCAAAGTCTGCA